TCTTGACATGGACATTTTTGAAGACTGTAAATCAGTTATTTTGTAACATTCCTTCATGGGTTTGCCTTGGATTTCTTCATGATTAGATTCAAGTTAGGCATTTTTGGCAGGCGTAGTGCGTAAGTATAAGTGATATTGTGTCCTTCTCGGCACATCGTATCAGGAGGGCACTGTGATGTCAATGTGTCCCATTATTGGTGATTCTAATTTTGAATACTTGGTTAAGGTGGGACTCCCATGTTTTTCTAAGGCAAGGTAACTATTTTGCCCTTTCTGGTTAATAACTATGGAGAGATATTTTGAGGCTCTAAACATCATGAGTATTATCAATGAAATCAATGGTTTTAACATCTACTGATAATTCTTACCTGAATCCACTGTTAACTAACATGGCTACAAAATGGTGACTTGTAAGTTTCATTATGTCTTTTAAGTGTATTCTTGGCATTCTGATGTAAGGAATTCTTCTTCTTCCTCAAGCATTTCTTTTTTCTCCTTTATTTCATATCCATATGGACATCTCGATTTTTATTGTAGTCAATTAGTTACAATTGATTACTTTATTTTGTGTGTGTGTGTGTGTGTGTGTGTGAGAGAGAGAGAGAGAGAGAGTTTTGCTCTTGTTGCCCAAGCTGGAGTACAATGGTGCAAGCTTGGCTCACTGCAACCTCCACCTCCTGGGTTCAAGTGATTCTCATGCCTCAGCCTCCTGAGTAGCTGGGATTGCAGGCACCTGCCACCATACCCAGCTAATTTTTTGTATTTTTAGTAAAGACGGGCTTTCATCATATTGGCCAAGCTGGTCTTGAACTTCTGGCCTCAGGTGGATACTCGCCTCGACCTCCCAAATAATTCATTACTTTCACTCTTAGTTTTGATGCTTATATTGTCCCAGATTTGTCCAGTGACACTGTTCAAACTGGAGCCTGTGCCATGTCCCCATCATTTTTTAATCCTTCTCTAGCTCTAGGCTCATCTTATACTTTCTCAGGTTCTCACTTACATGTGGGTGCTAAAAACTAAAACAATTGAACTCATGGAGATAGTGAGTCAAATGTTGGTTATCAGAGGCTGGGAAGGGTACTGATGGTGGGGCTGGGGAAGAAAGGGGTGTGGTTATGGGTACAAAAAAATAGAATGAGTAAAAGTGGACATACAGGGTGACTATAATCAATAATGATTTAATTCTACATTTTAAAATAACTGTGTTTGTAACACAAAGAATAAATGCTTGAGGGGATGAAAACCCCAGTCTCTATGATATGATTATTACTTATCATATGCCTGTATCAAGATAGCCCATATACCCCATAAATATATGCACCTGTGTACCCACAAAAATTAAAAATTAAAAAAATAAAATTCCAGAAAAAAAGATTTAGAACCCAAAATCTGGGCACTAGGCATGCCCATTACATCTTTGCTTTTCAGTTAATAGCACTGGTATTTTTAAAAAGCTACCCAGGTGATTCCAATGTGCAGCCAATAGCGAGAATTGGTGGTGTGTGAAGAAGGGGCTCAGTAGCCATCACCTACCTATAATAGATGACTATGAGAAGGAAAGGGAGAGAAGAAATTGTAGGAACCATGAAGCAGTGGTCCAATACAACGTGTTCCAGACCATGAATAAGTTCACGTGAGTGGGCCATGAAATCAACCTACCACGTCATTTCCAGCATTTCCAACAACAGACCAGGTACGGTGGTCTGATAGGAAATATCAGAGGGATTGCATATAATGACAGTTTCTTTTTCTTAAAACTTTTAGTTTTATATACATGAGAACATCTATATATTTTTATGAACTAGATGTTGATATAAAACTATTTCTTACCTGGTCACAGTCCCCAGAATTTGAGAAGTACTGGTCTAGAGGAGAGGGCTGTGCTATTCTCTCCTCTTTTAGACGAGAGTAGGTGCTTCCCCAACCCAAGCCCTAAGGCAAGGGAGGGAAGAGAGAAAAGAACAACCCGAAAAGACTGGGGGTGTCTTTAGGAAAGGAAGGCTGATGTCTCATTACCTGTTTGGACATCTGCTTTGAGAAAAGATTTACAGATCTTACTCCTGTGCCTGTTTGAGCAGGCTGGTGTGAACTAAAGAGACACAGCAGGGCAGAGACAGGAGGGCAGTGAAGAAGTGCGCGTGCCCACCACCGGCTTTCTGTAGGTCAAGTGGACCCTAGGAGGTAATCTGAACTATCTTTCCAATGCCTTATCCAAGAGGGTTGGCCACTGGGTAAGGAGACCCCAAGAGTAAAAGGCTTGGAGGGAACTAGCAAAGGTGGGGTCTGGGGTGGTTGTGGAAAAGGCAGAGTCAGAGTCAGATCCCCTCCACCAGGGGTGAGGGGACAGGTTCTGCAACCTGCTGTCCCCTGATGAAAAATTTCTGAAATATACTGAGTGAGAGAGCCAACACGGGGAGGCCTGCCCACAGACCATGGACAGCCAAGCAGCTTAGCTAGAGAAGCAGTGAGAGCCAAGAGATCATCACAACAGAACATAAAAGGATGGATGCCACTTCATAGCTCCCTCCTGCCCACCCACACCCACTGGAGGAGAAGGAGACCCAGAAGAGGAAGGGGTGGAAGCATGAGAGACCAGACAGTTCTCTGCTCCACATCCAACCCCACTTGATGCACAGCAGAGGGCAATGGATAAAGACTAACTGGATCTAAGGTTGAGGTTTTAAACTAGACTAGACTTTGAGATCAGAACATACTGAAAAGGCATGGGATCACCCAATGTGCCATTGCAGGGCTGGAAAGAGAGACTGGAGAAAGCAGGGTTAAAGTCAATTTCCGGAGAGAAAACAAACCTCTTGTTTAATCCTACCATCTTGAGATTTCCCAATAAAATGCTTCCTGGTCCTTTTCAGTGGGGTAGCTAGGGAAGGCCTTTCTGAAGACGTAATGCCCTCAGCTGAAGCAGGAAAATGAGTGGTCCCAGAGGAGCTGGAGAAGGATGGTTTATCAGAAAAGGAGGCCGGGCATGGTGGCTCATACCTGTCATCCCAGCACTCTGGGATGCCCAGGAGGGTGGGTCACTTGATGTCAGGAGTTAGAGACCAGCCTGGCCAACATGGTGAAACACCACCTCTACTAAAAACACAAAAATTAGCCAGATGTGATGGTGGGCATTTGTAATCCTAGCTATTCGGGGAGCTGAAGCATGAGAATCACTTAAATCCCGGAGGTGGAGGGTGCAGTGAGCCAAGATTGCGCCACCACTCTCCAGTCTGGGCGACAGAGCAAGACACTGTCTTGGAAAAAAAAAAAGGAAGGGAATACAAAGTACATAGTCCCAAGGTGAAGAAGGCATTGGCACATTGGAGAATGGAGGGGCTGCAGCCCGCTGAGAGAGGATGAAGACAGGGTAGAATGGGGAGGTTACAGGACCCAAGGCATGATGGCTTGTGGCCTGCTGAGGAATGCAGAAACTGATTTCTATAGTTTCTCATAATTGTAAAGTATTATGTGCTTATCTAAAAGATTCCAACATGTGCTTCCACCCCTCTAGTCCAAATTCTCAAAGGTCGCCACCAATAATTTTCTTCCAGACTGTTTAGTATTTCTGTGTTTCCATGCATATATGTAAAATTTATTTTTATTTTTTTACTTTTTGAGACGGAATCTGGCTCTGTTGCCCAGGCTGGAGTACAGTGGCACAATCTCAGCTCACTGCAACCTCTGCCTTCTGGGTTCAAGTGATCCTCCTGCTTCTGCTTCCCAAATAGCTGGGATTACAGGTGCCTACCACCACTCCTGGCTAATTTTTGTATTTAGTAGAGACAGGGTTTCGCCATGTAGGCCAGGCTGGTGTCAACCTGCTGACTTCAGGTGATCTGCCTGCCTCAGCCTCCCAAAGTCCTAGGATTACGGGCCATGCATATATTTTTATATGAATAAAAACTTATAGTTCTGCAATTTAATTTTCTTCACTTGAAAACATATCAGCTAGGTGTGGTGGCTCATGCCTGTAAATCCCAGCACTTTGGGAGGCCTAGGTGGGCAGATCACTTGAGGTCAGGAGTTCGAGTGGAGCCTGGCCAACATGGTGAAACCCTGTCTCTACTAAAAATACAAAAATTAGCCAGTCATGGTGGTGCGTGCCTGTAATCCCAGCTATTCAGGAGACCGAGGCAGGAGAATCACTTGAACCCAGAAAGAGGAGGTTGCAGTGAATCAAGATCATGCTACTGCACTCCAGCCTGGGCGACAGAATGAGACTCTGTCTCAAAAAAAAAAAAGATATTGGCTCATGAAATCATGGAGCCTGAAAAGTCCCACGATCTGCCATTTGCAAGCTAGAGACCCAAGAAGTCCAGAGAACAAATAATGTAGCTTCTAGTCTGGGTCTGAAGGCCTGCAAGCCAGGAGCACCAAGGGCAGGAAAAGATCAAGGCCCCAGCTCACATGGCCAGGCAGAGGTAATGCAACATTCCTCTACCTTTTTGTTCTATTCAGGCCCTCAACAGATTGGAAGAAGACCATTGGGGAGGTCCATCTGCTTTATTCAGTCCATCAATTCAAATGCTAATACCTCTGGAAACTTTGACAGAAAGACTTAGAAATAATGTTTAATCCGGGCATCTCGAGGTCCAGTCAAGTTGACACATAAAATGAGCCATCGTAAAAGGGGAAAAGACAAAAGTTCAGACACACAATCAACAACTTAGAAGAATAACTATCCATCATACTGATAGACACTGTGTTTCCAAAATAATGGGTTATTCTTGATGTCTTGTAGCTTCAAAAATAAAAACCTGCAGACACAGTGAGACACTGAATTTGCCCCTGTGGGAGAGAAATGACCCTGTAAATTATATCACATCACCTGTCATTGCAGAGCAGAATCTTAATATGCAGCCACTTCCCCCATGCATAAGCTGAGTTCCATGCAGTCAAGGCCCTTACAAAAGCTCAGAGGGCCTCCTTCTTGAGCCTGGAATAAGAATCAACCTCTTTTTTTGAATAAACTAAAGACTGTGAATCCAGCAACTTACCTTTTTGTTCTTGCTTGGCCCAGAAAATTTTGACTCGCTGGTAAATGTACTTGTCCTCACGAAGTTTCTTCTGCCACTTACGCAGTTCTTGAATCTCAGGATCACAGCGAACCTGGAAAATCACAGTAAAACCTTAGTCCCTTTTTGACATACTTCTTTACACTAGCTTATTAACCCTGCATGGAAAATCCTTTACAAACCAATTGGATGTACTTTTGATTCTCAATGAATCATTGTTCTAAATGAATTATGGACACTTCTAGAGCTCATGTCATATTTGAGCATAAATGAGGTTGTGGGAAGATTTGCTATAGTAACAGTAGGTTAAGAATGAATAGGTCTGTGCTGTCCAATAGAAAAATAATGCAGCAGCCAGGTGCAGTGACTCATGCCTGTAATCCCGGCACTTTGGGAGGCCGAGGCGGGCAGATCATAAGGTCAGGAGTTCGAGACCAGGCTAGCCAATATGGTGAGACCCCATCTCTACTAAAAATGCAAAAATTAGCTGGATGCAGTGGTGTGTGCCCGTAGTCTCAGCTACTCAGGAGGCTAAGGCAAGAGAGTCACTTGAACCCGGGAGGGGGAGGTTGCAGTGAGCTGAGATGGCACCACTGCACTCCGGCCTGGGCAACAGAGTGAGACTCAATCTCAAAAAAAAAAAAAAGGAAAGATAATGCAGCCACCACATTTGTAACTTCAAACTTCCTGGCATCTCATTTTAAAAAGTAAAAACAAGCAGATAAGAATTTTTTAAGAATATATTTCACTTGGTCAAGCACGGTGGCTCATGTCTGTAATCCCAGCACTTTGGGAGGCCTAAGGCAGGAGAATTGCCTGAGGCAGGCAGATCACCTGAGGTCAGGAGTTTGAGACCAGCCTGGCCAACATGATGAAACCCCATCTCTACTAAAAATACAAAAATTAGCTGGGTACGGTGGTGCATGCCTGTAATCCCAGCTACTCAGGAGGCTGAGGCAGGAGAATCCCTTGAACCCTAGAGGCGAAGGTTGCAGTGAGCTGAGATGGAGCCATTGCACTCCAGCCTGGCGACAAGAGCAAACAAAACCCCATCTCAAACAAACAAGAATATACCTCACTTAACCTAAAACATTCAAAATCTTATTACTTCAACATGTAATTAACATAAAACATTATTTATGCCGGGCATGGTGACTCATGCCTGTAAATCCTAGAAGTACTATGGGAGACCAAGGCAGGAGGATTGCTCAAGGCCAGCCTGGCGACATAGTGAGACTTCATCTCTATAAAAAATAAACAAAATTAGCTGGGTGTGGTGGTGCATGCCTGTAGTCCCAGCTAATCAGGAGGCTGAGATGGGAGGATTGCTTGAGCCTGGGAGGTTGAGGCTGCAGTGAGCCAAGATTGTGCCACGCACCACCACACCTGGCTAATTTTTGTAGTTTTAGTAGAGATGGGGTTTTACCATGTTGGCCAGGCTGGTCTCGAACTCACTGCCCTCTAGCCAGGGTGACAGAGTGAGACCCTGTCTCAAAAAATAAATAAGTACATAATTATTTATGAATTATCTTTCTGTTTTACATGCTAAGTCTTCAACACAGTGTGTTTTGCACTTACAATATATTTCATTCCAAGTGCTCAATAGACACATGTAGCTGGCGGCTACCATATAGACGAGCACAGCTCTAGGTTCACCAGTTAATGCATTAACCACAGTTCCACTTAACACTGGCTGCTTACTCCATAGCAACTTTTGTGCTAGACGTTGAGATTAAGGAGACTAATAATAGTAATTGTAACACTGATTATTTTTATTTTTATTATAGCTCATATTTATTGGGCATTTATCTCCCAGGCATGGTTTGAAGTATCTTACAAATTTTATTTCATTTTTTATTTTCTTTATTTCATAGAGATAGAGTCTTGCCATGTTGCCCAGGCTGTTCTCAAACTCTTGGGCTCAAGCCTTGGCATCTAAAAGTGCTGGGATTACAGGTGAGAGCCACTGTGCCTGGCCAAATATTTTACAGTTTTTTTTTTTTTTTTTTTTTGAGATAGAGTTTCACTCTTGTTGCCTAGGCCAGGGTACAATGGTGCAATCTCAGCTCACTGCAACTTCCACCTCCCGGGTTCAAGCAATTCTGCTGCCTCAGCCACACGAGTAGCTGAGATTAAAGGCATGCACCACCACACCTGGCTAATTTTCATAGTTTTAGTAGAGATGGTGTTTTACCATGTTGGCCAGGCTGGTCTCGAACTCCTGACCTCAGGTGGTCCACCTGCCCTGGCCTCCCAAAGTGCTGGAATTACAGGTGTGAGCCACTGCGTCCGGCCAGCTCCATTCATTTAAAATGAAGCAGTAGCTGTGTATTCTGAAGGAACAATTGCCTATACTGGAATGAGCATGCAGAACTGGGCAGTCACACTCCACATGCCCAGATCAGTGCTTCCATCTCTAGGCTATGGTCCCCTCCTGTCTCTCCAGACCCCAGGTGCCCAGAAGGATGGCCTCCTTGCTCCTCTTCTCTTCTGAAAGCCACAACTCAGACCTGCTGGTCAGATAGTCAGAAACTATCCTTCCCACTGGGAAGGATGCAAGGCAAACTGAGGCAGAAATAGAAATCTGTCAGGCCTGCAGGACCCAGCATTCAAGGGAAGCAGGTAAAGGGAGCGCAGGGTGAGGACAGACCAGAGAGCCGGGCTTGTCTACAGGGGTCGGCTACTCCCCAACTCTGCTGACCATGGAGATGCCACCAAGCCAGAGCTTAATCTCTTGCTTTTTCAGATCACCGCTGGATCTTGTGAATTCCTGCCTTGGTCCCCGGGCTTCCTATTGTGGTCACTGCCATCCTTTGAAGGAGCCCAAGCCTAGGCTCCCAAGTTTCAACTTGCTCAAGTCACCCATACATCTACCATCTCAGAACATAAACACAGTCCCCCAAAGGGTGAGATTGAGCCAGATTTCACCATCAGCTACCTCCCAGTCCCAGAATGACCTTTCCCTCTCATCCCTATTGAAAGAGGGGCCACCTCTTCCAATTCTCTTAATAATTTTACATTGAAGAGCCTTGTTGTCCTTTCCTTCCACTGAGCTCATATCAGATTCACAAGTAACCCTAGTGATTTTTTAAAATTTGGTCAAATACGCATAACTTAAACTGTACCACTTTAATCCTTTTAAAGTATACGCTTCAGTAGCATTAAGTACATTTACAAGCTTGTGCAACCATCACTATTCTCTCATTGCGACATTTACATCAGGCCAAAAGGAAATCCCACACTCTTTAAGCAATCAATTCCCGTTCTCCCCTCTCCCTGCCCCAGCCAACCACAGACCTGCTGTAGTCTCCATAGCCTCCCTGCGTCTTTAGATCCACAGTCTCTCTGGATTTGCCTATTCTGGGTATTTCATACAAATAGAATTACACAATCATGTGCCCTTTTGTGTCTGGATTCTTCCAGTCAGCATATCATGTTTGAAGGTTCATCCACATTGCAGTATTATCAGTACTTCCTTCCTGAATAATATCTATCGTATAGGTATACCACATTTAATTTTACCCATTCATCACTTCATGGAACATTTGTTTTGCTTTATTTTTGAGACAGGGTCTCATTTTGTAACCCAGATTCCAATGCAGTGGTGCACAGTCCCAGCTCACTGCAACTTCCACCTCCCAGGGTCAAGCAATCTTCCCACCTCAGCTGGAACTATAGGTGTCCCACCATGCCCAGCTAATTTTTTAACATTTTGTTTTTGTAGAGATAAGGTCTTACTATATTACCTAAGCTGGTCTCAAACTCCTGGGCTCAAGCAATTCTCCTGCCTCAGCCTCCCAAAGTACTGGGATTACAGGTGTGAGCCACTGAGCCTGGCACCTAATGGAACATTTGAGTTGTTTCTACCTTTTGGCTATTGGGAACAGGGCTGCCATGAACATTTGTGTATGAGTTTTTGTTTATTTTTTATTTATTTATTTTTTGAGACGGAGTCTTGCTCTGTCACCCAGGCTGGAGTGCAGTGGCATGATCTCGGCTCACTGCAACCTCCGCTTTCAAGTGATTCTCACACCTCAGCCTCCTGAGTAGCTGAGATTACAAGCACGTACCACCATGCCAGGCTAGTTTTTTTTATTTTTAGTAGAGACGGGATTTTGCCATGTTGGCCAGGCTGGTCTTGAACTTCTGACCTCAGGTGACCCACCCACCTTAATCTCCCAAAGTGCTGGGGTTACAGGTGAGTTTTTGCTTAAACACCTAATTTCAATTTGAAAGGGGGCTTGTAGACCTAGAAGTAGAATTGCTGGGTCACATGGATAATTTTACATTCAATTTATTGAGAAAACAAACTGTTTTTCACAGTGTCTGAATCATCTTACAATCTTACCAGCAATGAATGAGAGGGTTCTAATTGAACCACATTCTTCCCACACTTGTTATATTCAATTTTTTAAATTTAAAATTTAAATTTCATTTAACTTTTTTGAAATAGGGTTTTGCTTTTTTGCCCAGGCTGGTCTCAAACTCCCCAGCTCAAATGATCCTCCCACCTCATCCTTCTGAGTCGCTGGGACTACAGATGTGTACCACTGTGCCTGGCTCTGCTTTTTACTATAGCCATCCCAGGAGATACGAAGTGGCATCTCATTGTGGTTTAATTTTCACTTCTCTAATGTGTAATAACATCGAGCATCTTTTCACGTGCTTGTCGGTCGTTTGCATATCTTCTTGGAGAAATGTCTATTCAAGGCTTTTGCCCTTTTGTTTATTTTTTTCTCCCTCCACTTCCCTTTGCCCTTTTAAAAAATGGGTTGCTTGTCATTTTGTTGTTGAGTTTTAAGAGTTTATTATATGTTCTGGACACTATACCCTTCTCAAATATATTATTTACAGGTATTTTGCTCCCATTCTGTAAATTGTCTTTTCACTCTCTTGGTAGTGTCCTTTGATGCAAAAGGTGTTAAATTTTGATAAAATCAAATCTATCTTTTTTGTTTTTCTTGAGACAGAGTTTCCCTCTGGTGCCCAGGCTGGAGTACAATGGTGCAGTCTTGGCTCACTGCAACCCCTGCCTCCTGGGTTCAAGCGATTCTCGTGCCTCAGCCTCCTGAGTAGCTGGGATTACAAGCGTGC